TCAAGAACATTGTCCTTGACAAGGGGATAAGACCTATGTTTCCACAATAAGTAGTTTGTTATCGAGACTTGACACAATGCATAGGCTGCAACTGACGCTGTAAATACGATAGCACTCACATTATTTGTCACCCAAAGATTTTCACCATTTTGTGGCCGAGGGTCGAAATTGAAAGTAAATGCGCACCCAACATAAGTGGCGCCAAAATATGTGCCATGAATTAGTATCGTCACTTGGAGGGCCCACGACCTAAGTAAACTGAACTATGTCGAACTGATGAACTCGCATGCGAGAACGCTTCGTAAAACAACTGCAGGATTCATAGTACTTTGCAGAACTTTGTCTTCACTCATTGGCGTTGAAATTGAGCACGCATGGAATTGATTTTCCACCATGTTATTCCTAGGGATAAGATTAATATTTTCAAGAATGATATGCTATAATGTATGTATGTTACAATGTATGAACAAATGGTATGGCTGGTATAGCTCTCATAGCCGTTGTAGTGGTTTGGGAAAGATCTATGGTAAGAAGCGGTTAGTAAATTCCCATTTGCAGCTTAAGTCCAGTGAGTCGACGATGGAGGATATGCGCTGAGTCATTTCGGGCCGGTGCTGACAAAATAGTGATACCATCGAATGTGTCATGTATTTGCTTGCTGTCCTACTAAGTAACGTACCCATCTCTATGGTACTGATCGAGTCTGCGCCGTGTAGTGTCGTGGAATTGGCTAGTGCAGAGTACGAAACACCGAGTAGGACCAGGTTATCCGTCATAATTCGATCGCAGAGCAAGGATGGGAAATACCGCACTAGACCATGGATTCATTTGGTATGTGCTGGCTGGGATGGATCGAAAGTATCATAGGCGGGACCAAGCGATGATTTTGGTTCAACCAAAATTTGGAATCAGTACTTTAATAGCGTGATTAGCCGAGGTATGGAGGGAACATCTGCTGATGTGTCAGAGACAGGTGAGGCTACGGTGGTTCTTCTACATGCTCATGAAAAGATCCAAGGTGTTCGTGGAGGGTCCAGATACCGTGGAAGTCGTGGCACTCTTGTAACTGCTGGAGGAGTTCAGGGCCAATGGGCGGCAGTTTCGAGCCTACCAGGATGCGTCGAATCAGTTGTTGGATGCAGGTTAAGTGGCTGATGATGAACTTGTTGCTACCAGGACACGGAAGTAGAAGAATGTGAACATGTACGTATTCGTTACAATCATAGCACAGAGTCGCATTGGTGGAGGCTCGAGGCAGCGATTGAAGCTGTCCTGTCTGGTTTTGTCTGAGTTTGAGGTCGGCGGTTTACCCATAACCAGTTGGTAGTAGTATTGGCGTCGGGTCACTACCGCAATCTCCTTGTTGAATCAGCATTTTGTTGAATTCTTTCTGATGTCGTCACAGCGTTGGCGTAGGGCTACATGGTCGGGTGTACGCCCGCCCGTGGTTTTGTGTACAGTATTCAGTTGTTCATAAATACTGTACGGGAAGCGCAGTGATGGTTTGTTGTGGGCCGAGGCGGGTTGCGTCAGAGGGATGAGTGTCATTGTGATGGCCATTGAGTCGAGGTGTATTCCCAGGCAACCTCCAAGGTAGTCCACGAATGGTCGCGCGGGGAGCAGGCCACAAAAGTGGAATAAGTGTGTTTGACGTTTGGAAAACCGAGAGTATTTAGTGCCCATGATGATGGCTGCTGCTTGGATGAGTGCTGTAAGATTTGGTCTCTCAAGGCGACATTAACGCCTTAGAATAAGTAAACGCGTAGGTAAAGTCTAAGTATCGTGAAAATATCAAAGTAAATGAACGAAATAAGACATTTAGTAAAGTTAGGTATGCCTCGTGAAAACAGCAATACTCGGAGGGATTGTGAGGCTGAGACATTGCCTATATATAATCCTCTCAGTACTGTTTCCGCCGAAGGGATTTTATTTAGTGTTTCGTTGTCGCTCTATCAGAAACTATAGTATGTTTCATTGGGGCGAATCCGAGAAACTCACAAGTCCCCAAATATCTGAAATGTAAATGGAAAAGGTATTAATTAATAAAACCATTAAAAACTATTTCAGGAGACTTAGGTTCCTCGTTCTATTAAGAGTACATTAGGAAACTTAAGTTCCTCGTACTATTAAGAGTACGTTTATAATTTACGTACTCCTTAAGAGTACGTTTATAACATAGAGTCTATTGTAGAGGCCCGGCTTATTACAGTGCTGAGTTAAAGCGCTCGAACAAGGTGTCGAACGCGTCGTTCCATATAAGCGGAGCCCAGGCAATAATGTTCCGGCCATATGTAGCCGTGGATAGGATGAATGTTTGGAACAGCGCCAGTAGGGTTTTATGCCAGTATTTTTCAAAAACTGATTGGGATGGGTTAGGTAAAATTGCTCGGAAGAAGAGCCATACCGGAGTTATGTCATCTATTTCATGACGAGTCTTTCGTCAAAAGGTGCTCGGGTACTGGCGGCTGCGGTAGGGACTGAGAAACTGGTGAGGTAGGGGTTTTTTCAGGGCTCGGTTTTTCAGATTTGCCCACTTTTGAGCGGTAGCTGGTAGGCTCACTGCTGCTATTGGGCGCCTGACCGCGGCCTTTTTGCTGACGGAACAGGCGGGCTTGTGGAGCCAAATCGCAAAGTGTTGGGTGTGTCTTCATCTATAGGTGCGCGGGTTTAGGATTTAAGGTCCCGGAGTTCGGATTCGAGATTGTTTACTTTTGCACAGAGGTTAGTGAGCATTTGGTGCTTGGATGATTTCCATTGGATAGGATAGGCCAATCAGTGTTCGGGGTGCGTAGAGCTGGTCCCAAAGTTTGGAAAGTATTGACCTGGGCAGAGAGGTCTGTGATAGATTTTTGAAAGTCCAATTTCCATTGGTCATTGGGCAAAGAGTCCTTGGGACGAACGTCTCAGTTGGGGATTCCGCCTGGCCCGACATCTTTCGCGACTGTGGGACTGTGGGACCCCAGGCTCGACCTGCTGGTCACCGAGATTTACATTTCGGAGACGAAATTTGAATCAAAGGTCCGTCGTGAAAGATAAATAAGGGGAAGTGAAAAAATATATATCTATTCTTAGGGTTCGCTGATGCGCAAGAATCAATCAATCCCGTTCTCTCTTTAGAAAAAAATGGTTCAGTGTATCGCCTTGCCACAATTATATGCATTATAAAATAAGTTATAGGGAGAGGACGACCACTCACAAGTCACCGCCAGAAGGTAAAAGGTGAAGGCGTGAAGGCTGAAGCCAAGGTCGAAGGTAACCTCAACCACAAAGGGGCCGGACCCCCTTGGCCCCAGCGCCCCAGCCCCAGAGAGTCAGGGACCAAGACTCACAGAGACCCAGATTCTGTCGAAAGAGGCATAAACTAAAGAGGCAGCCGCAGCCGCACCCAGACTCAAGACGGAACTAAACGTCTGACTCCTTGACTCCCGAGTCTCAGACTCTCAGTCTAAGGCTTCAGCCTCTCAGCCTCTCAAGTACATACATATAATTATTTTATATAAAAAACCAGACAGGACAATCTGAGTCCTGAAACTGAGTCCTGACTCTGAGTCAGGCAGCTCAGGAAGAGAGTAAATACATAGTAAAAAAACAGCTATGTCAATTGTCAGCCTATGCGTAATTTTCAGAAAGCTATGACAAAACCAAAAGAAGAAAAGGAAAAAGTATTTACTATATTTTTGGTCTCAGTTCAGACTTCAGTTTGAAAATCAAAATAGAACATTTATAGAAGGCTGTGTATATGTTTTAATATATATATATATATATATTTTCAGAAGGCTACGCTATTTTTTCGCCGTACTCCGTATCCATAAATATAACACAGGCGGGCCAGCCGGCCAGACCTGCTAAAAAAAATGTATGACAAGAATTTTTTCTTTTCCCTTTTCAAAATCAATCCAATAGAAAAAACTAGAATTTAGAACTGGATTGAAAAAAAGATGCTTCTCAGCCTCTCTGAGATTTGTGTTGACATTCTTGCATTCTTTCGTTGCAAAATGTTCACATTTCACAACAGGCACTCCGCCATCACATATTTAAAAATAAATAAAGGCCCATAGCTTAAGCTTCCCACAAATTATGGCACTGCCTCCGACCCCTCCGTTTACGACCGACGTTTGCGCCTACTCTGTCAAAAAGCTTTATTTATTTATCACCCTACTTCTACCATACAAGGCGGTTTTCCTGCAGAAATTAATATTCATTCGTGCTTGGACTTTACTCAATTCGCGCACTACATTCCCCTTTTCCGCTTTTCCCATTTGGCTATGAGGGACAATTTTTAAAATAAGGGTCACTTTCGGAAAGAAATCGACGGTGTTATGAAATCCAATCAATACACATCTCGAAACAGATATTCTTCTTGATTAGAAAAGTAAACAACTTCTAGCCTTTAGTTAGAGAATCTGGGTCCTGAGTGTCTTAGAAAGTTGTTATTTTAGCAAGAATAAAAGGGTAGAAATAGTCCTAAATAGCCTTTAAATACTATGTAGCCCATACTACTAAGTACTAACTAGCTAGTAACTACACGATGGTACTTGCTAAATTAAAAAAGAAAGCAAAAATTAAATATCTTCATCACGATTCACAACCACCTGTTTTACTCCGTGTTTAGAAAAAAAAGGCCCATCGCTTATACATATAAATATACAAATATATATATATACATACATACATATATACTAGATATATATATACATTACATATATATATAAAATATATGCACATATATATATATATGCGTATATATATATATATATGCGTATATATATATATATATATATATAATATATACATATCTATATATAGATGTATATATATACATATGTAGATATATAACATATTACGCAATTGCAAATGCAAATGGATATGCATATATATATATATAGATACTTCTATGTGTAATAATTTTACAGATGTATATATACATATACAAATATAATGTAATATAATATGATATAATAAAATAAAAACATATATATATATATATATGCATATTATCTAGGTGTTAATATAGGTGGTCTTTATTTGTTCCATACATGATCGTTTGTACCTTGTTAGATCTGCGCTTTAGAGAACGATCGCGTAAGTATACGATTTTAGCGCAAACTGACCGACTTTTGCATCGAGGGTCGGGTTTGTATTTTAAGACCCTTCACGCACCTGATATCATGGCTCTAACAGATATAGGTCATTCATAAGTCAACACTACGTTATCTTGCTCATCTCGTAGTGATTTGTCGGGTATCAGCTCTCCACTATGTTGTAATGCTTAACAGCCATCGCAAACCTTCCCACATACCATCCAGAGCGTAAAGGTTTAAACCTACTTAGAGGGAGCGCATGTATCTCTGCTGATCGCTCTTGTGCCCCCCTGCGTCCTTCTGAGTCTGCACAGTGCGAAGAGTCTCGAGGCATTCGGCCATGGCAGTGCTCCAGGCCTCCAATCGTTCACTTAGAACTTCCCAATTATCTCGCCCGAACGTCCTTCGAACAGCGCGGCGGACAATAACCTTTCAAAGTATAGTATTAAAAATTGATGTCAGAGAAATTATCGCATACGGGATTTGTGGTCAAATATTCGCGGACAGTAAATAACTGATTTGATCCATGATAGTTCAAATGACTAGATAAAAGCAAGATAGTCCGACACCGACGCAGCATTTTTTTCGCTGATGCATAATAGTTCTAGTGACTCGATAAATGCAAGATAGTCCGACACAAGACATACAAAAACATGATAAGACACAGGTCATACTTACCACAAAACAAAACGAAAGCGACGCAGACACAAATAATCTCTAACACAAATACTGAAACAGACATGCGCATGTTATACAATTTCAAATATGCGCTAAAAACGCAAAAACAAATACCTTCTCATTGAGCTGATCAAGCTTTCCAGTAACAAGCTCTTTGCGCATCGCCTCTATCAGCCACAACTCGACCAAGTCCTCCTCGACCTGAAGCGACTCGGCGACCTGCTTGTATTCTACCTCGTTCTGTACATAAGTGGAAAGAAAATGCAGTTTAGATAATGTACATACCAGACGTGATTCAGGATAATCGAGAACTAGAGCATGCGCGGATCGCTACCGAGATGGAAGACAAAATAAATTGGTGATGAATGAGCTAAAGGTTGGCGATATTGACGACATACAGTGTCGGTCGACAAGGAGATGAGTGTGAGCAACTTCATTTTCTTCTCGCATACATCCTTATGCAATGAGAACTCTTCGAATACACCAGGATTGCTCGATGCAAACTCAGCAAAGGCCTTGTAGTCACCGCTGAAGAACACTTGCAGTAAGCCGTAAATGGGGCTCACTCCCTCGAGAGCTTTGACAGCCTCCAGCTCTACCGCCTCGTCGAAAATATAACATTGGGAATCCCTAATCGCGTCGGCTAGGTATTCACACTGTGTGGAACGTGTATACACAGGGAAAATTTCAGCATACTATATAATAAGCGAGTGGCTTGATCACAACGTCCTAAGCAGCGTAAATAGTTTCAAAAAGGGATGCATACACTACGGTATTTCTGGTAGTCCATCGAGTATATCCACACTACAAAGCAGGTCATGTGGAAAGCGTAAAATATGTCATTCAGCATCAATTTTGGCGCCAGCGCTCATATAAATATCGTACACTTGGGGGGCTGTCGGACTTTTGCAATCTTGAGCAAATACAGCGTACATATAGCAAACAGATTTATACATACATATCCGAATCGGGCACAGCCTGCACATAAGGCCCGACCTCAAAGGTCCAATATCGCAGTTGATATCTCCTTGTACATGCTGATACAAGTGTGATAGCGAACACAAAAGCAAAATCAGAGACATAATACATAAAGACATACAGCAACATCCTTAGCTTCCGCGGCACTCTCCTTATCGAAAGATTGTAGGAACTTCATCTGAAACTTTCTTGCTTGGGCGGGGCTGTCACACTTTTTGCAGGCCTCGAATATATTGCGGTATAAGGTTCGGGTTTGCGATTGGTCACAATTCCATTCAGCAAGCCACTCGGGCAACTGAATATACCGTTGTAGAAATAAAAAAGATGATATGCGATGCACATCCAAATATCAAAATCAAAATATACCAAAATATTATAAAAAGTAGTGTTCATACATCAGCAGCAATCGCTGTTAAATAGCAACGACTTGATTTGTAAAGGGCAGACTAACTACACACAGGGTTTGAGAATACCACATGAAAAGCAAGGTTTATTAATTATACGTCTGTGGCAAGGGAAATCACACAAAAATCATGAATCAATGCTTGTAATAGAAACGTACCTGTTCGAATTGGCTCTCGAGTGCGTGTAGGTAGCCACTGGCACCACAGACCTTTACAAGCGAGTTGTAACATGTGTATCGAGCTGAGCTATCTGCATTCATGTTGTTGAAAAGGAAGGCCAACCTGCACATTGGACGACCCACGAATTTAAGGGCCAGAATCAGCCGAAATGCCACTTGAAAGAAGACCAACGCCAAATACGTTCTTAAATATTAGTAATTGCACTCGTGTTAGTGTGCACGCATGATGCGATATCCCCAAGACTGTATATGCTTGTGGAGTATTTGAGTGCTCGGTACAGTAGCGTGTACTTTGGTGTTACACAGCGCATATTAATACATACTAGTAGAATACGCTATTGCATTAAAAAAAAAAATTCTGTATGAAGGCCTGGGAAGTGGGGCGAATCGTGCCTGCAAGAGAAATGAGACTTGATCCAACACACTTGTCAGTCCTTTTTGAGATGATATCTACAACACACACGTACCAAGCAAATATACAAATAATATGTCCCGCTGGTAAGCGGTTCTTAAACTAATACGAAGCTCAATCAGAACAAAATTGAACGACGTTGTGCATGGACCTTTCAAAACGCATACACCATGGACGAACAACACAAATATCACTTACGCCTACATCATAGGCTTTGATGGCTAGCACAAATTTCTGCGACTGACAATACTTACACCTACATCGTAGGGTTCTATAATAAGCACATACTGCTATAACATACACATACAACTTGACACGGATGGTAGCACGGTCAGCGGGCCCTCCCTCTACTACGGAAACCAGGCGAGATAAGAGTCGATCGACATCGGCTGGTTCTACATTGCTGCACAGGTTTACAATGGCGTATATAGAGGCCTCCGCAGCTACAGGTGATCGAGACAGAGATTTCGTCAGACAGAAATTTTTAAAATTTGGATCTCTAAAACACTTTCATGTTTATATATATATATATATATAAACCTACATGTACACACACACATATATATATATATATTATATATATGTATATTTAAACATGTCATACATGTATGTGTCTACAAAGACGGATATACAAACTTAAAGCAGACATGGCATACAGACACCCTTTGGTCCCATCCTATGAAGACAACTGAAGCGTGCAAATCTTAATGTACGTCATCATCAGTTAAAACACGATAGTGAGAGTACAAATTTCAGTGAGAGCGTAATCTCAAAGATTACTCCCTACAGCGCTATAAATGTAAATACTGTCGTATACATACATATATAGAGGAGTATACATGCATATCTACTGACAACTGACAACCACATCACAAACATTCATGTGAACTACATACATACAGAATACGATACGATCTGTAATTGTCTGCCCACTTGCAAAAGTGGCACAGCAACTGCTACCAAAGCTTACCGCTATCGGACTCATTGAGCAGAACTGGCGACTTTTCAATAAGGGCAGCGCACAAGGCCTGAAAGTCCTCAGCGGTCTCAAGTTTTTCGCAGAGTGTGGTGACCTCTGTCTTCTGGGTGAGACCATCGATGTGAAAAGCGAGCTCACGAGCCTACATTAAACCAAAGTTGGTGCAGAAAATCAATTAAAAATTCATACGAGCATCTACTGGAAAAGCCAGCAGTGCATATAAAAAGCAAAGTTACACATGCGATTATGATATATACGTCAAGCATTTCTATATGCATAACAAGCACAACAAGAAATAAAAATATTCACATATCCGAGCAAGCACAAGTCATACTGTTGACGAAAATAATCGAAACAGATATTAACTCGCACGTCAATCACAACATACAACGGAACGCACATGATTTATATAAATATAAATATAAAAATATACACATACAATATAATACATATACATACATATATATATAAATCCATATTCTATCAAACATAAAAACGTGAGAACTAGCATTTTTTTTTGCACATACACATATTGGTAGATATGATATAAATATACGACACATTTATAAGTATATTTATATTCACATATACACGGATATATATATATAATATAAATAGAAAAAAATACATTTAGAAATGTGTCTACCTGTATTAAAAAAACAGTACATTTAATATCCCATAGCATAGATGTAAACGTCCGAATAAAAGTATAAAGAGATTAAAGAAATCAAGAGATAAGATATTTATATATATATATATGAATATGTATACTAGTATAGACATAATTATACTTGTATGACAATACTTGTATATATGTAATTATACATAATTAACATCCACACATACATACATACACAAACACACATATATAAATACCCACACACAGCCACCCATACCCCCGGACGCATACAGTATAAAAACATTCATCGATACATATACCTATAGAAGACAAGAATATATAGACAAGATGAATTATATATACGCATGCACGCACACACGTATTTATATATTAACGTACGCACGCAAACACACACACACACACGCACTTATATATATACATTAATAATATATACATATATATATATATTTATATACGTATGTATATATTTATCAATATATATATATATATGTATATAATATGAATATTATATATATATATATATAAATATATGAATTATATATATATAAATAACTATGAAACAATACACACATTCTCTCTCTCTCTCTCTCATA